CCGCGCATGTGCGGCAGAGACCTGAAAACCAGCTGGCTGGCAAGAGGCGCGCATGCATGCTCAGTGGAGCTGAGCTGGGGGGACAGCTCGCATGCCCGCAGAGAGGGCTCTGCATGCCACACATGTGCCATAGGTTTGCCATCACGGCCCTAGCACAACAGCGGTTCTCGAACCTTTCTAGCTTCACAGACCGGCAACACCTGCAGTGGTAGTGACGGGGTGATGGTAGTGGTGTAGAGGATGGTTTTTCACACACAACCTAGTTCCCACATGTGTGCAAATGAAACTTGGCACATTTGCCCGCTGCTTGTGCGGCCTGGTTTTGACTGGACCTTGGACTTCTACAAGGCCATGGCTGCTATCAGGCCTTGTACCAGGGGTGGGGTCCCATGCCCTAGCAGGATCCAGAAAAGAGATCCTTGTCTGTCTGTTGCCTTTGTCCTCTGGAGTAGCCTCTCTTCAGAGAGTCACAAGGCTCTTAGAACTTCAAGCTTTAAGGACCTGCCTCTTTCCTCAGGCTTTAGGGAACGACTGGTTTGGAAGCAGCCCCATTTTTTGTTTGTTTTCAGTTTCAGTCTCTCTCTATCTTAATATCTTCCCCAGTTTTCATTGTGAAGCCTCCCCGAACCATTTTGGAATGGGGGAGAATCAATAGTTGATGAATAGATGAATTGTTATCCGAATTCAAATAAAATGACTATGTAACGGATCCTGTTAAGGCAGAATCTTCTTATTCCCTCCCCCCTCCCTCCCAAATTTTATTTATTCACTTGAAGAGGTAGACAGTGTTTCCCACTTTGCAACAGTATGTAATCATACCTTGAAATTGATGGAAGCCAATTGCCACATATGGAGGAAAGCCAGCAGTACATATTCTGGATTAAAATTATGTTTTCTTTTGAGTCAAGATGAACTCTCTACAACATGAATGCAGCCATGCAGTTTTCTTGTCAGTGAAAGGGAAAAAATGGTCATAAATGATTTGGTGATGGGGATTATACTCCTTTTTAATGGTGGGGGGGGATTGCATTCAAATGTTCTGCCTTTCCTGTGTATTTTTCACCGATGTGTATATTTTCTCTTTTGATATATTTTTAGAAGTGGCGATCGATTTATTGAAGAGAAGACCCTCTTATTGGCTGTCCGCTCTTTTGTGTTCTTTTCTCAGTTAAGTGCTTGGCTGAGTGTGTCACACGGAGCTGTGCCTCGTAATATTCTTTGCAGGTACGTTTTTTGTCGAAAAGCACCTCCTCCTGTTTATTCTAAGCAGCCTTCTGAAGGATGAGAAGCATGCTTTTACATACTGCTTCCGATTTGATTAGCCTGCTTGACCCCTTTTAGGAGAGATTGATTTTTTTTTAAAAACCCACATTATTTTAGATTGTGTACACCCAAAGGCTCAGGAACTAGAACATGCACTAAATTAAGACTTGGATTGATTTGACATCTTGCTTTTCATTTGTCAGAGTGAGTGCCGCTCATGTGGATCTGCAGTGGACATTTTCCCAGACACCAACAGAACATCTTTTCCCTGTCCCCAATATTTCTCACAATGTGGCCTTGAAAGTCAGTGTCCAATCTTTGCCCAGACAATCGAACTACCCAGTTCTGACCTGCAGCATTCATGCTAACTTTGGCTTCTATGAAAACAGAAGAGAAGAGACTAACGTACATCAGCGCTGTGATTCCATGAAGACCGAACAACCTAGTGTGGCCAACTCTCAACGTCCTTGTGGCAAACTAATGTGGGCTGAAAGCATGCTTGGCGTAAAGCAAGGCCCTGAGTTTAACCCTGCTGTCAGGAACCTGAAACTGTATCCCTTAGCTGGCCTTGGATCTGACTTTGGATCGTTAGAATCGAAAGTTCATGGCTACCCAGCTGCTGTGGAGAACAGGGAGCTGTTGCCAGAAACGCCAGAGGGAGCTTTGAAATTATCTTGCTTGGCTGATACCCGTGGCCATAACAGCAACCCTTCCCACCAGTCCCTGGGAGATTCGTTTCCTTTGATAGGCTCTTTACTCCAAGAGCGCCATGAAGTTATAGCAAGGATCGCCCAGCATCTCATTCACTGTGATCCGGCAGCATCCCCTGTCACGAGGAAGGCTTTTAGCACCAATGAAACCGGTGTGGCAAACCCCAAGGGTCTACGTCACGCCCCCGAAGAGAAAAACTTGCCGAAGAAAGGAAGGGAATTGCCCTCCGTTGCTGCTAACTTGGAACACAACACTTCAGAAAATGTTGGGAAAGTCCAGCTGATACCAGAAACACCCTTGTCTTGTTCCTACATCCCCCTGAACCCGTGTTTCCACCAGGCGAGAGAGGAGACCAACCCTCTCATAAGCTCTTTACTTCAAGAGAGGCAGGAGGTTATCACAAGGATTGCCCGGCACTTGATTCATTGTGATCCCCCGCGATCACAAGGTGCGTCTCCTGTGTTCACTTTTCACGATGTCAGTGCAGTTAATCCGAAGGCTTTTCACAGTTCCTGCAAAGAGGACGGCCTGCTGAAGAAAAGCAAAGATGTCCCTTCCGATTCCTTCTCCAATTCCAGATTGGCTTTACCATCAGATGACCCCAAGACAAAACTTAAAACAGCAACAACTCCATTGCATTCGCCTAGATGTGACGCAGACCATAACGTATCGCCCAGCTTTAGAAGAAAACTGCTGCTAGCAGAGACCAATGAAGTAGTCCAAAACACATTTCATCAGTCTCCTCCTAGTAGAAGTCAAAGTCCTCTAAGTTGCACGACCCAATCATGTAACAAAGAAGGTTGTAAGTCGGAACTGACAGATAAATTGGTGTCTGTGCTTTCTGGTTGTCCCCATAAACCTCAAGTAGCAAAGAGGGGCACCGCCAAGCCGTGTTCACATTTCAGATGTAGTAACGAACTGGTTTGTAGAAGTAAATTTAAGGACAGAACGATCTTTTGTAAAAATAGCGACCCACACTGTTCAAATAATCCCCATGTGGATCAGCACCGAATACTTGAAAACGTTAAAGCGGCTACAGTGCCAGCATCTGACGGCTGGCACAAATATGAGTCCAGGCACTTAAATAAAGACTCCAAACAACCAAATGTTTCTGAACAAAACTCTCAGCTCACTAGTATCGAAAACTATTTACATAAAGACCATGACATTTCCAAATGCAAAAGCAAACAAGACAGGGTGAAAAATGCCAACGATGAGAACGAGGAGCCAACCGACTATGAGGTACAGAAGCATTGTCAGAAGAAGCCTGTAGAAGATTCCTTGGCTGCTTTTTTTGAACAAAGGAAGAATGCAGAGGTGCTGGTGAGTAATGTTTAATTGACATATGGTCCATTTCTGTTTTATGTTCCTCCGTTCAGCATTGAAGATGACTCAGAAGAAAGTTAATCTCTGCCTCTAACGTTGGTGTGTATACACATACACATTCAAAATGGCAGCGCCCAAAGAAACAAATATTTGCAACAAGAGGCATGAGAAAGTTCTTTGGCACCAAAGCAATGTTCATTGCTCGCTGGAGATGATTTTTGTTCCTTCTGACTTGATCTTTTAACCATGCCCAATCCTTGAAAAGTGAGTGACTACTGAAATCCTTATACTTTGCAATATTTCCTTGTTTGTGAAAGTGAATATTCATAAATGCTTAATGGGGTTAGGTAGTAATATGTGTAGAGTGTATGCAGGAAATTTGTGACTTGGCTACTCCGCTACTGAAAGGCGATTGCCTTGAGTCAAAAATTATTATAAAAGTACTTCAGATCTCATGGGAAAATATCCCTGGCCCACGGAATTTTTTCATTTTCACTTGGCAATCCTAAAAACCAGGAATTTAAAGCATCCCTATTCCTCTGGTGCTGAGAACAGAAATGAACCAGCCTGTCTTTTATATTTGAATTAAGATACAGATTAGTTTCCTTACAAACCTTTAGCTCTCTCCAGCCAATTGTCATCTTTCATCTTACCCTCGAAAGCACATCTACAAAGTACAGGCACTAGGGGTTATGGTAGACAACATTTATTGTTTCCTTGATCTGTAGTTCCATCACTGGAGGAATAATTAGTAGGAATAAATTGCCTCTTGATTTGTTAAGTACTTAGGAAAATGGAGTCGTAATGGCACTCTTTATAACAGGATGCTGTCTTTTTCTTTGGGCAGAAAACAATACCACTCAAACACGTGTGGCGCAAAAGTAATTTTCACCACTTGGATAGGACTTCTACCAAGGCCTTCCACCCCCGGACTGGATTACCTCTCCTTTCAAGTCCAGTAAGTTACAATTTTACAGCCCTGCTCCGTTTTTCCTTTATTTTCCAGGTTTTTCAATAACCACAAATGGTGGAAACAATCCAATGTATTTAGCCTTTAAGTTATTTTTTTGAAAGCTCCAGTTCTGGTATCTGGGAATGTTGCCTCATCCAGCCAATTGGTGTTAGTCTCATTGTTTAATCTTAAATCGTTACCACAAATGTTGTATGCACTAAAATTTCAGACTCTGTCTTGGAATACAAAAACATAAACTGTGTTTCTATCTTTGCAGGTTCCTGAAAGAAAAACACAGACAGGATGCTTTGATCTTGATGCATCATTATTGCGTCTGAAATGTTTGTCCTCCAAAAGGTATTTTTTGAAATATGTTTTCTAACATTTGCATATTCTAAAATATACTTTGGAGCAAATTAATATTTTGGAAAAAGGGTGAATGAATTGGAGCAATTCAGAAAGAGGAGTAAAGATGGTGAATATTGACAGTATGTTCAATAAAATATGACCCACAACTTTATACCAGGTGTTTGTTTATGGAAAGCAGATCACGTTGTAGTCTCTAATAATGCTTGGTTGCACATCCTCTAGTTCTAAAATAGTGTTTTCCAAACTTAGCTACTTTAAGATATATGGACTTCAATTCCCAGGAGTCCCATGCTGGCTGGAAAATTCTGGCAGTTGTAGCCTACACATCTTAAAATTGCCAAGTCCAAAAAACACTTTTAGAACTATGTGTAACCATACATTATTAGAGACTACAACATGATCTGGTTTTCATAAACAAATACTCAGTATATTATAGGAGGTTATATTTTACTGAACACACTAAAGGGTTCACAAATGTTCAGTCATCAGTGATGCGCGTTTCTTGGATTCCTCCACCATATTTCATTGCAATGTGAGAGCAGAAGACATTGTTCCATAATGTTTTAACTTATTATTGATAGATGTTGCAGTGCCCAGACTCCATGATTCGACCTGAGGTAATTGTTATCTAACCAGTGAGACAAAGCAGACTTAGTTGTGTCTGACTTAAGGAGGTAAACTTCATGAAATGCTATAGAAAACTGATAAATCTAACACCTAAGAAATTCCTAAGGATTGTAGATAGATGTTTTGCGTCACCCATGATAGCATTTTTAAAAAAAACACTATCTATGCGGTGAGTTAGTTTTCTTTAGAGAGGGCCTTATTAGTATTATACTATTGAAATTGTGTACACTCCTTTTACTTCAAAGCCTAAGCATTTGAGTCTTAAAAACAAATTACTGGAATGCATGTGACTGGAGGAAGAATCTCTGTATTTTTTTTCCTAGTCCACAAAGATATATAAGCAAAGAGAACGATTCTGACATCCATGAGAAAGCACTCCTAAGTTCCAGTGCACCATCTGTTACAAGTCTTAGCCTTCTTGGAAACTTTGAGGTAACGCGCATCTTTCTTTTCGTAACTGACAAACTGTCTGTTTTCTGTGTTTTATATATATAAGATGAGCCAAAACGTACCTCATGAATACAGCAGTTTGCTTGCATGGAGAATGTGCCAAGTTCAGGCAGATGACCTTCAGTTAAAAGAACCCAGTCCTACCAATAGTTTTTTCCCGAGACTTTTGAAAGCCGTTGCCAGTTGGATTGGCCAGCCCTGAGCCAGAAGAATTAAGTCAGCGCTGGGAACTTCCTTTTGACCAACATTTCTCAGCCTTGGCGTTGTTAAGCGCACTGGCAGGGGAAGTTTTGGGAGCTGAAGACTTCTGTTCTTTCCAAATTCTTTCAAGAGTTACCTTTTGTTCCTTCTCTCTCTCCATTTTCAAACACAAATCAAGACTTGATTCTTAGGATCATATTTCCAGTTCAGACCTTGAGATGCCTCTAACAGCCATGCATGTGGTTTTACCCCAGTGGGTAGTAATCTTCCAGAGGGAGGGAAAGGAAGGGCATACATTTGTCCAATAAAATCACCACTATCTATAAGCGTTTTTCAATGTTGCCTTTGTCCTTTCAGGAATCTGTACTGAACTATCGCTTAGATCCGCTGGGTATTGTAGGCGGCTTCACAGCTGAAGTGGGAGCAAGTGGACTTTTCTGTCCAACTCACATGACTCTTCCCGTTGAAGTTTCTTTTTACAGCGTTTCTGAGGACAACGCGCCCTCTCCGTACATGGTAAATATTTCAGCGTTCTGTATGTAGAAAATGTATGTTGTGTAACTTTTAACATCTTAAGAGAATAAGAGAGTTGGAAGGGACCCTGGAGGTCTTCTGGTCCAACCCCCTGCTCAGGCAGGAGACCCTTCTATATTCTAAGCATCTTCTACATGTTTCACATGGCTGCCACATGAATCTTGAGAAAAGCTGCACAGATATTGCCCTTCCGATCCAATATTGCTCCATAACTCCAATAAAAGACACCAGACAGACCTGTAATGCTTCTAATTGCCTCCTTGAATGTTGAGACTAGGCAAAAACCCTTATTAACAGTTTCTCTCAGGTATAAATTTGTGAATTAATTACTTTGATGTGCTAATTCTTATGTCCATATGCTAGTTGTAACCTTATGCTTCTTGCTTTCTTCTCCTTTCCCTCTCAGGGTGTAATCACTTTAGAGTCCCTTGGTAAAAGGGGTTATCGGGTACCTCCTTCAGGAACAATACAAGTGGTACGTATCGTGTGGCAGATAATTACATTGAGTTCATGAGTCTAACTCCTTGCTCAGTGCAGGAATCCAAATTGAGGCATCTCAGGTGAAGGGATGGCTAGTTTTTGCTTGAACACAGCTACTGAAGGGTGGGTACCACCTCTTCGTGTAAGAGGTTCCAGCATTCAATCATTCAGACCATGAAAGTTCAGCTGAAATTTGCCTTCTTCTGGCTGAAATTCAGTATCTTGCAAATTGCAGAGAGAGAAAACAAGTCTCATCCATTTTGTAGTGCTTTTAGGTAGTTGAAGACTTACATCCTATCCCTCTTCAATCAACTTTGCTTCAGGCTAAACTTACCAGATCCTTCAGTATCTTTCAGGGACTTAGTTTCTAGCGCTCTGATCCCATTAATAAAAACGTTTGATGTGTTCCTTGTTCATTATACTTCTCATAAACAAAAATATTCAAAAACAGAAGGCCCAGGACAAATTCTTGTGGCATGTCACATGATGCAACTGTCCAATTTGAGGAGCCGCCACTTATGAAATCTCTTTTGAGTCAGCTATACGTTCAATTTTCACGCCCGTACTTTAGTTTGCTAATCAGAAGGTCATATGAATGCTTTGGTAAAGTTTTGTTGCATCATAGCGCTAAACATTTGCTTATGGAAAAAAAGCTTGACAAGGAGAGTGAAAATTATCTGATGCTGTGTTTCATTGTTTTAGGTGAAGAAGTACACTTCTGGCCCTACAGAAGTCAATTTAGACTAATTGAGAAATAGGGAGATAGTGTTGCGAAGATACGTGGTTAATTGCAGAGGTCACACTGCTTCAGGTTAAGAGTAAGAAAGACATTTTCTCTGCACTATTTTTTCCCATTGAGGATAAGGGCTCATTTCCGTGAAAGCTGGAATTCTGCTTGGTGATAGAGACTCTAAATGTTCTTAGTCCTTATTACAAATCAGCTAAAGATAAGTTCAAAGGAGATGATTAGTTTCCTATCGAGAAATTAATCCGTTTGCAAAATACAGAGATTTTGTAAAGTGTGATTCCTAATAGAATCAATTCCACTAAGCAATGATTAAGTCAAGGCATAGATTTTTTATCACACTTACATGAGTTAATCAGCTTACTAATGCAAGAGTGTCTGTGTCACATTTACAACTGCATTATTGTAAATGGCAGTAATATGCCATTTGTTAGATGTCTGCATCTTCAGCATTTCCTTTCCTTTTGAATCTTGTTTACCCCCAATCATACAAATGTGGGTTAGTCAGTTTTATTGAGGCTAAAGCCCTGTAGATAGTCTTTAGTTCATGAAAGTTGGTGTCATGATACATTTAATAGTTTTTGGGGTGCTTATAGGAATCTTTTGGTTTTGCTGCAAATCACTACATTATTCCTACCCCTCTAATCAAAATATTTAATTCTTTGCAATACCATCCTCAAACAAAACAGGAAATTATGATCAGAAAGGTATAAAACCAAGCTTGGGCATTGAAATGGTTTTTTTCCCCTTCAGTCTCAGAGGTTGTTAAATTGATTTTTAATTGGAACAGTACTTGATAAAATTAAAATGTACATAAGAGAAGTGTTGACCAGTGGCTTTAAATAAGTGTATTCGTCCAAACACAGCACTGGGAGAGGGAATAACATGTTAAAATTAATTTTTGCAGTTTAAGAAACACCAGTGAGAAAACTGAGCATCTGGTGTTAGATTAGGGTTGGCCAAAACCACAGATTCCTCCATCCTGGCAACACTGGGTGAACAAATTTTCTGGAGGAGATACCATGGATCCATCTTTCTAAATATATTTCATTCTTTTTAATCTGCTTTAGCGATTTCAATGAATCCTCAAATAAGGCCATTCTTTTCTCTCCTCTAGACCTTATTTAATCCTAACAAGACTGTGGTGAAGATGTTTGTGGTGACCTATGACTTACGAGAGATGCCTGCCAATCACCAGACATTCCTGCGGCAAAGAACTTTTTCTGTCCCTGTGAAGCGAGAAACAAGGAAAAGCATCATTCAACAAAATACTCGACATACTGAAGAGAGACTATTACGCTACCTCATTCATCTGAGGTGAGAACGTGGCTGAGGTGCCATCTGGCATGACCTTTGGAGGGCTCCAAGGCGTGACAGGAGGGGGCTGTGCTGAAGATGGCTGGCAGGGTTGCGTTTTTTGCTTTTAAACAGTGATAATACTTGCACGATGGCTTTCCCCAAATAGCAGGAAATGTGCTGTCGCTTGTCAGCTGTCAGGACAAGTGACAGCACATTTCCTGCTATTTGGGGAAAAGGAAACCTTATACCATTAGTGAAATGGTTTAAGGTTTCCTTGCCTGAGCAGGAGGTTGGACTAGAACAGAGGTGTCAAACTCGTGGCCTGAGGGCTGGATGTGTCATGTGCTAGCCATGCCCACGCCCTGGTTTAGTGAAGAGGAAAAAAATTGTGATACATCATACAATGTCGTGATGCTGTGAGTTTGACACCTCTGGACTAGAAGGTCCCTTCCAACTCTTGTTAGTCTGTTATTCTCTGTTATAAGATTAAGATTGGGTTAGAGTTAAGATGGTAAGCCACCCAGAGTGATCTTGCGTTCAGATGGGCAGCCAATAAATTTTACAAATAAATAAATCATAAATAAAATAAAAGGGACCTTTAAGGGAATTTAGGGACTGTGTGTGTTGCTGGGCACACATTAACTAGCCCTTTTCCAACTAATTTAGGAACCCGCTAATTTTAAGTAGCAAGGGGGCATCTTTTGAAACAAGGACATGATTGGGAATGCTGTTGTGTTCACCTATCAATAAAAACAGCTAGATTGCATCGATTTGGTTTGAGAGATTTTCTTTTCCTCCTTATTTGAACAATTTGAATTAATTTGAAACTTAAAACTAAGGAAGTCAGGTTTAGCAGTTGAAATCACAGACATCCTCTCCAAAAGAAAATAAGTCTTGGAACAGTCAACTATTTAATGGCTGAATCTCCTGGGAGGCACTAATTTGTCACGCTGCTCTGGTGAACCTACCTTAGGAAATGGTGATCAGCAAAAACATTTGAACCAGACTAAAGCTGACATTTACTATTTATAAAGTTGTCTTGCAACTCCCAAGAGGTCAATAATGCAGCTCTTCATGTGGACTCATTGGATCTCTTGAATGTCTAAACCAGCTTCTGTAAAATAAGCTAAATGCCCAGACATTAATTTATGGTATACTTGCATCTGGACTGAAAGTTCTTCAAAATTGCTATAGGCAGTTTTTTATTGGGAATATTACCGAAAATATACAATAGAGAATTGAAATATTTGGTTGTAAACGTGTTAACAGCAGCTAGAATTGTATTTGCTAAAAAAATGAGAAAATACCAATGCAGGAGGAAGTTATTCAGAAAATAATGGAACGTGCTGAAATGAGTAAATTGACATTTGAAATTAGAGAACAAGAAGATGAACAATTTTGTAAGGTGTGGGATTTATTTCATCAGTGATAAAAAAAACATGGAAATGAAAGATGTTGGAGAATTTTCATAATATAAGAATAATAGAATAATATAGAATATATTACAAAGGTACATTATTATTGAATAGATACAGGATGATGTAATGAAATGTTATAATATAAATGAATCCAATACCTGGAACATTTTGTTCAAAATGAAGGAATAATAGTTATAGCTGAACAAACAATGTACAATGATAATGTATACATATATACCAGATGGATAATCTGTGATTTTATATACAATTGAAAGTGGGGACTATGGAAAGGATGCACAAAAGCCTTGTAACCAAACAACATGCTGTATGTAATTGAAGAGGGTTTAATGTTTTGTTTGTCTTTGTCTGTCTAAAAATAAAAGCTTTTACAAAAAAAAATTCTATAGATAGTTCAGAATGGTCCAATAGAAAAAAAATAAGGGATACTGTTTTGAGATATAAACATTAATGGGTATGTTAGGTGCTTTGCCTGGATATAACAAATTTCCAAAGTTGCAATTGCTAGTTAAATTTGTTCTTATTTCAAATAACTTTGAACGCTGGGAAAGGTAAAGGTTCCCCTCGCACATATGTGCTAGTCGTTCCCGACTCTAGGGGGCAGTGCTCATCTCTGTTTCAAAGCCAAAGAGCCAGCGCTGCCCAAAGACGTCTCCGGGGTCATGTGGCCGGCATGACTCAATGCCAAAGGCGCACAGAACGCTGTTACCTTCCCACCAAAGGTGGTCCCTATTTTTCTATTCACATTTTTTACGTGCTTTCAAACTGCTAAGTTGGCAGAAGTTGGGACAAGTAACGGGAGCTCATTCCATTACACGGCGCTAGGGATTCGAACTGCCCAACTGCCGACCTTTCTGATCGACAAGCTCAGTGTCTTAGTCATTGAGCCACTGTGTCCCACACGTTGGGAAGCAAGCACCAAATAAATGAACCGAGAAACAAGTCACTTTTGTACAGGTTCACGCTGTCATTATTGCAAACGGGAACTGCAGTTGGGATGCCAAAGAACTCACAAAACCTGACGATATTGGCAGAACTGTAATGCGAAATAAAATATTTTTTT